TGTCAATTTCAACATGTTTAATTGTTCATACATTAACTGGATTTAGGTTGGCTTTATTAATTTTTACTATCCGGTAAAAATGTGAGCTTCTGGTTGCACTTGTGACATGTGTGATCTGCATTTGGTAGCTTCTGGTTGCACTTGTGAGCTCATACCGCTATGAAGGACCGAAAGTGCATGAAGATGTTGCAAAATCAGAGGCTAAAGTGCTGGTTAATGCCTTAAAAACTGCTGATGAGAGCAAGAGCCTTGTTGGAGATGAGGAGATTGTAAGAATACTGGCAACCAGAAGCAAGTTGCACCTCATGTCTGTATACAAATATTACAAGGATTTCACCGGAAACTTTTTGGATGAGGTATGTGATTAGTATGAGTACAATAATAATCCCCTCTCATTTGCTACCTTCATTGTTTTGCATTACAGCTATAAGATTTTCCACCAAACACAAACTTAACCGCATGTGCTAGCTGAAAACATGATTTTAAAAAATACCTCTGTGAAAACAAAAGTAACCTCTTTAGCTAAATGAAATGAAATGACATTTAATTTCATTTTAGACTGAAGATAAAATATTAAAAAACAACAAATTAGGTTTGCACTTCATTTTTTCTTTTTAATGCTTACAGGATCTTAATGGCCGCTGGGCATTAAAACAAACGGTGCAATGCCTTTGTGCTCCTCAAGTGTATTTCAGCAAGGTCAGGTTATCACACCAATAGATACACAATATATACCACCTCCATCTCCTCCCAACTGTCCGACCGATTCTAGGACCCTAAGAGATGGGGTGCCATCCCTTTTTTATATACCACCTCTATTAATATTCATTAACAAAGTGAATAATAATAATGTTAATAATCTAGCTAATTGGTGTGATGAATGTATATACCAGATATTGGATGTGTCGTTGAGAATGGGGGTAGAGGAGGCTGCTAGAGACGCAGTGACTCGAGTGATTGTCACACGAGCGGATGAGGACATGAAGCACATCAAACAAGAGTATCAACGCAAGTATGGCGTTTCTTTGTCCGACAAGATTGAAGAAGTTGGCAATGGCAGCTATAAGGATTTCTTGCTCACTTTAGTCGCAAAAGCAGAATGATTCAGTTAACATTTTGACTTACATTAAATATTTTATTTAATATTTCATGGATGCCTTTTCTCCCCCTGCAATATGTGAGGCTTACATGACTTTTGTAATTTCAGTTGAATGATGAATGAATAATAATGAACAATATTGATACATTATTACTATTATCAAACTACAATATGTAGAGGTGGAATAAGAACCTGAAAAGGTTCTTTATTCTTTCCAATGGGTGTGCCACACTTCATTCATAGTTATGTCATTTTTCATATTATCATAAGACTTTAAATTTCATGTTTATAAATATGTTTTTAGTCCCTGCAAATATAGTACATTTTGTTTTACATTCCTGCAATTTGTTTTTTTGGTTTTCGTCTCTGCAATTTATGTTGGTGTTCTTTGTAGTCCATCACTGATGATATCAACATTCGTTTGATCTGAAACTAATCCCGACTAATAGATTACCTTTAATCCTTTGTCTTGTTATTAAAAAAGTATTTAATTTTATTTTTTTCAAAGGCTTTTATTATATATTTTAAAAATGTGAATATTTAGTTTTATATAATTTTAGCTCTCATATTAGACTCAAAAAAATTATAAAATGGTAAGTTTAGATATTTTTAGTAGATTTATGCAACTGAGAGTAAAAAAAATCCAAGTAGAGTGATTTTGGAATTAGGGAAGGACTAAAAACAAAATAGGGCATACTACATGGATGAAAAAAAAATGACAGGGTCGTAAAACAAAGTGTGTCATTTTTGCAGGGACTAAGCACATATTTAAGCCTTATTATTATGACTTTGACTGTCCCATTTTCGGCTTATCATTATTATCATCAATTTTTTTTACCAAATACATATGTTTTGATTTTTCGCACTGGGTTATTAATTTCCAAAATAAATAAAGTCGAAGTTACTTTTTAGCATAATCGACTCAAATTACTGAATAAGATTTTTAGCTATTTTTCATATAATACATAGTATTACCCACGTCCCGGCTAAGGATGGGCTGGGCCGGTTCGGCTTGGCCCGAAACCCGGCCTGGGTCTTGGGGCCCAAACCGGGGGGTTTTGGATCGGGCTACAGGATTGGTATTTGGTGGCCCGATCCGGACCCAAATTGTTTTATTTTTTCGAATGGATTGAGTGCTAGGTGGGTTGGGCTGGGTGGTTTGGGGGATGGGGTGCGGTAGGAATAAATAAGAAAAACAAAATTAATAAAAAAACCTAGACCCGGCCCGGTCCCGGAACCAACCCGGGCCGGTACCGGGCCTTCAATTCTCAAACCCAGTCCCGCCCAACTCTTGGCCCGGGGCCCAGCCCGACCCGGGCCCAGCCTACCCCTAGTCCCGGCTAAAGGTTCCCATTTGCAAAACAACTGAATTATTTAGTCAATATTGAATAAGGTAATTTGAGTATATTTTGAAAAATAAGTTTGATGAGTATATAATGTAATGATATTATGATAATAACTATGATATATAGATGTAATGTTTTTAATATTTGATAATTAAATTTTTATTTAAGAGTGTTAATTATTTAATTTCATAAAAGGCCAAAGGATCAAATAGATCCATCTACCTGTTCGTAATGCTCAATTCGTCCCCTGAACTTAAAAAAAGCTCCAATTAGCACCCTCAATTGGATAAAAAGTTTCAAATTTGACAATTTGAAGGTAACCATCCGATCAGCGCCACATCATCAGGTTATGTGCCAACTGCGCATCTGATGTTTCAACTCAAGGTGTCAAATAAGCCCCTGAGCCCAACTGAATTGTTCAATTCACCCCCTCAACCGTTAAAAAGTGTCAAAATTGTGAAAAATAAAAAATAAAAAAAATACAAATATAAATAAAATATAGTTTGAAAATATCAAATATAAAAATGAAATATTTGTATTTTGCATTTAATTCAAAATAAAAATAATATATAAAATAAAATAATTTATTTACCTTTATTTACAAATATTTTATTTATATTATATATAAAAAATGTGGAAGTTATGTGTACAAACATACACACATATATGTATTACCTTACTTTATACTACATAATAAAGTATGTAATTACTATTTTTTATATTTTACTTCTTATATAGTACTATATAAAGTTTTCATGGTCTAAATAATTACTACAAAGCATAGAATTTAATCTTCTAGATGTCTTTTTTACTTATATAAATATAAAACAGCTAGTCTAATTAGTGTATTTCGAAAAAACATAATTACAACAACATCCAAACCTTAGTCCCAAAAGATATTGGGGTCGACTAACATGAATCGATACATGATATCACCATCAAAAGGAGAAGAAAGAAAATAAAGATAAAAAAGATAAGCTATTATAATAAAGATGTATAAAATGAGCATATATCTAAAATGACAAAGTAAAAAGGATAAAAAATAATGTTTATATATATAGATAAAAGGATAAAAACAAGGGGGGAAAATGAGGGGAAAAGATAATGCGAGATCACTCCTCCACATGAGTACCCGCCCTCCACTTTGCTCTCTCAAAAGTCATACTCTCATCCAACCCAAAAAGAAGCATATCACTTCGGACTCCCTTAACTCACGTCTGTTTGGGCCTACATCTCCTTCTCTTTCCTGTCTCTTCTCCACACATCTCAACCCGTCTTACAAGTTTTAAATAAAAATTTAATATCTTATTATACCAAACTAAAAAATTTATTTGTAAATAAATTAAAAATACAAAATGAAAAAAAATTGGAAAAAATTAAACATAATATAAATCATCATACCAAAAAAACGGGGGAAAAAAAAATCTTAGATATATTACATAAAATACAATTTTAAATATAATTAGTGGAAATATATTGTTTATTCTCTTATATAAAATATAGATATAAAATATAGAATATAGTTAAAGAATTTGTATATATTTTTTTCTATTATGAATTTACTGCAAAAGTTAATATTTCATATTTATATTTTATATTTTTAACTTGTGTTTTATTTTATATTTGTATTTTTTATTTTTTATTTTTTGTAATTTTGACAATTTTTAACGGTTGAGGAGGTGAATTGAACAATTCGGTTGGGTTCAGGGGCTTATTTGACTCCTCTAGTTGCCACCTCAGATGCACAATTGGCACATGACCTGATGACGTGCCGCTGACCGGATGGTTACCTGCAAATTGTCAAATTTGAAACTTTTTATCCAGTTCAAGGTGCCAAATGCAGCTTTTTTAGTTCAGGGGACGAATTGGGCATTATAGACAGGTACATGGGCTTATTTGACCCTTCAGTCTTCATAAAATAGATTTGAGAACCTTTAGCACGGACGTCCAAAAAAGAAAATGAGAGCCTTAGACCGGCACGAAGTGAGTATATAGATTTTTTAAATTCAACCACTTCAAATTTATTCAACTTATTCAATTAATCAAGTCATACTCGTAGTTTATAAGAATAATAGAAAAATCAAATATTACCACTATTGAAGAGCTTAGTATATACTCCTATAAAAAAATTACACTCTCTTTCTATCATATTTGCACTTTAAAACGAGGTTTAATGCACCAACCCCGTGATATGGAAATTCGGCGCATTAGCTTCCTATGATTTAAAAAAATGTAACAAACCTACTTATTTTTTAATTAATTATGCGCAAAATCCCTTCTATGAACAAATTCAATTGTCAAATAAAAGAAAATGATTAACATTTTGTATGATTTAGAGATTTTGACATATTTACTTGCATATTCATTTAAAATATTAGGAAAAGTGATTTCCAAATTGTTAAATTTATTTGTAATAGGAATCATGTGCATGATTAATTAAAATATTAGAAATTTTAACATATTTTTTAAATCACATGGACTAATGCATATATTGTGAGTCAAATATTTTTGAATAATACAGACGATATACGGACATACGGTAATCGAATGATTGTCCAAGACCTTCCCATCCCCCAACCCAGCCGCTCTCTCAATAAGCATCCTATTTTGTTTTGCGAACCCATGTTCCACAAACAAATCATGCAACTGAAACTTTAGTTGCTTTTCAAGAAAAATATCATGGAATGATCAAAACACACTTTTAACTATAAATGCGATCGTGATTGGAAAATTCATCCTTCTAACGCATCCGTGCAATCCCCAAATTCTGGAAATCAATGGAGGATGTAAGTTTTCTGGCGGCGCATTAATGATTATTTGTTTCCTTTCATTTTGAGGATAGATATTAATTCCGGGGCTTTGATCTATCTGATCCTTCAATTCAACGCAGAGAGGTGCGGAGAAAAATGGATTCCTTATATTCGTAGTGCTGTGAATTTACGGGTTGGGGTATTTCAATCCCGAGACAGGGAAACATGTCTGTTCAACAGAGAGAGACAGAGGTCAATAATGGCTCAGGTACTTTAAGTTTTTATTTGTTTTATTCAGACAGATATTAAAATCATTTCTTTTATCTTGATATTCATTATTCTACAGCTGTTTTTTTTTTCTTGTAGATTTGGTTGAGTACTTCTATGGGTAGATAAAAATTTGGGCTTTAATTTCAAATTATGCTCTCAAGCTTCCTAACCCTAGCAACAATTATATAGATGGAGAGGATTCCTAGGATTAAATAAGAATGAGAACAAAAACAGACTGCTATATGTGGAATCCATTTTCATAATTGGTTTGCTTAAGAGACACTTCATGCGTAAAAACTGTCACCTATGTGAGGTAGAACCACATCGTAATGTGACATTGTAGTCAACTTGTTTAGCTGAATCCCATATACTGTGAGGGTGTGGCATGACATTCATAGTCTCAATCATTTGGGATTAATACTAGTTACCATTTTGAAATCATGCAGAAAAAGAAACAGAGTGTAATGTTTAATGCCTAATGCACTTAGTGTCACATTCTTCTTACAAATTGTGAGGTGAAACTTTAAAAGTGTGACCGTCATCGAATCCCCCCCCCTGCATGGAAAATATCATGAGGCAAATGTGTTGAGATAGTTGTTTAACTTAATAACTTGAAGAGTATTTTATTTTATTTTATTTTATTTATTGGGCTGGTTATATCATCTGTCAAATGCATAACATGTTTCTCTTGTGTAATAATTCAGGTAAGGTTCATTGGATGTATTATACTATTATGTATACTCTATAATTAGTTTTAATTGCATCTCAGATTTGTATTTTTTGTTAAGGTTCCCTCCTCTATGAGCTTCTACAGTTGGAAACCTCTCCAAGTTCGAGCGATCAAACAGAAACGGAAATGGAAATGCAAGACCATTCTTTGAGTACGTCATTATCTCATATCATGTTATTGCCTTTGAACTGATTTTTTACTTTTGCTACAACCTACTAATCTCATCATCCCCAGTCCACGCAGCTTCTTATTAACTGATTTCACTCATTTTTCATGCTTAAAGCGTAGATTTGCTCTTACGATTTTCTTTTGATATTTTCTTCTGTCATTTTAGCCTAATTCGATGGAAATTTCATTATAATTTATGCTCAAAATAAATATGGTTCTTTTTTCTTCAAAAGTAATCATATCAAGCAGTCCGTGAGCCATGCCGTTCATGCTGCCTCAAAAGTAGCTGTTTCTTTGTCTCTGATAGTACATTTTGACTTCATGAGCCTGCCTTTTTTTGTATTTCTTACATTTTGTCTCATGCTTTGATTAATGACAAGTGACTACTAGTTCTTTCCCTGCAAAAAAACTCTCCTCTATCCAAGTTAGCTTCCCATTTACTTCTGAGACCCTTATAACCCTTATGAAGACAGTAAAATTGTATCAACTAAGCAATTGAGTGTAATCATAAATTCCTTCTTTGTTTGATGCTTTCTGGTCAAAGACCTTACTGGGATCATCTGTCTATATCAAATATGAAAGTCTTTTCAATTTAATTTCTGATTTTGTCCTAAAATTAACTTCATTCTGAATATAATTTATGGAAGAGTTGAAAAGGAAAGTGTGGAGCTCATTTAGGGATGTAGAAGGGTATCAATTTGAATGTTGTCATTTGTTTCTTTCTATATCAGGTCCTCGAAGTAGACTAGAGGCTCTACTGAAAGATTCTGGCAATAAATTTTGTGCAGATTGTGGATCTCCAGATCCAAAATGGGTGTAAGTTATTTGAACTAGCTGTATATATAGTCTTCTCACCCTACAGACTATTACATATATGCTCTCATTTTCTGATTTCCAGATCTTTAAGTTTGGGAGTGTTTATATGTATCAAGTGCTCTGGTGTACATAGAAGCCTTGGAGTGCATATATCAAAGGTTGGGATCTCTACTTTTTAAAACTGGGTCAGTAATACTGGAATCGTTATTATGGGCATTTGAGTGCCCGAGAACAATTTCCATGGCCTGGACTTCAGTTATGGAAATAAACAATGCAACTAAACATCAATAAGGGCTAAACTATTTTCCCTTCATCCAAAAAACAGTATTGGTTGTGACACTGAATCAATACGACAACCACAACTCTTTGTTTTTGGAACAGGGAAGTCGTGTGTCTAAAGGAGACTAAGTTATGATATATAAGAGACACTGAATACGACATCTTCCTCATAGGACATGAAATGTGAACTTAAGGGACCATTCTTGTATGGGGAATTCGTTATTCTATGACTAAAAAGATGAAACTAGATTCAAGAAAAGAATAAGAATGTTTGCACTAAGCAGCAGGGTCCATTTGGAACCCGATAAATTCTATGTAAGCTAAAACTCAATAAATTTAATTTAGATATTTGTTGATGCTCATTATACTTTTGCCAATTTAGAAAGACTAAGGAATCTAAATACATGTAGACCCCACCCCCCATTCCCCCCCCCAAAAAAAAACAAATACGGTGTAATATTTCCTCACTAAAAGTAAGGAAATTACTGTGCTTAACATACATCTTTCTTTCTCCTAACATTTCTCGGGATCCAAACATAGCCTAAAAGTCCAATATTTAATCAACCTCTATCTAATTCGTCATTGGATGATGAGTAGCTTGTGAATCCCGTGTTTAGCTTCCACCTCATATGAATGAATTACACACCTCACAGGTTTTTTCAGTGAAATTAGATGAGTGGACACATGAGCAAGTAGACATGCTAAATGAGATGGGAGGAAATAAAGTTGCAAATCTGAAGTATGAAGCTTCCCGTCCAGATAATAATTATAAAAAGCCAAAGCCAGATTCCTCTATTGAAGAACGATCTGACTTTATTAGGTAGTATGTTATCCTTCAATCCCCTAATAAGCTCACAAGAAATATATTTATATGCTGAAAGTTTCTCGTCTTGGATATCCACTCAGGAGAAAATATGAGCTGAAACAGTTTGTGAACTCCGATTTACAGTTGATGTGCCCCATTGCAACTTCTTCCGTTTCATCCTCAGAGAAGAAACATTCTAGTGGTCACAAAATCCATGGTCTTGGTCACGCATTTCGGAACAGCTGGAGAAAGAAAGAATCTGATAATCAGAAGCCAAACAGGAAAAGTAACTCAACCGTAAGTCATTCTGCTGCAAGAATTTGTTTCTTACTGTTAAGCTATTCTATACCGGTCAAATAGAACATACAAACCCTCGTGTAAACCCTTGGGTCAGTTTTCTTATAGGTTGGACATTTTAGAATGAAATTTCTTAGTGTTAATATGGTATGAGAGTATGTTAGACTCTATTTAGCAATTTGACGATAATGAAACCTCAATAAGGGGATTAAGGGCCATACTGACTTAAGATTAGTTAGTTCCTTGAGCCATATCTTGTAAGCTATGTTAAGTCCTACTCCAGTCAAGTAGAAAGGTACAAACCCATATATAAGCTCTTGGACTCATACTCCTATAAGGTTGTACTTTTAAGATGCAACCTCTAGTTTTAATACTTGTATTTTAAAATTTCAGAAACCTCATGTCGGAAGCATCATGTATTTTTCAGGATCTTCAGTTCTAATGCAACCTCTAGTTTTAATACTTGTATTTTAAAATTGAGGTTTAACACATTCACTATGATTCTATAGGCAGGTATGGTTGAATTCATAGGATTGGTCAAAGTCAATGTGGTGAGGGGTACCAACCTTGCTATCCGGGATATGGTATCCAGTGATCCTTATGTTATTCTATCATTAGGAAGCCAGGTAAGATGGATATCTCTTTTGCGATTCATTTTGGTGTGAGCTTAAGATATGGCTACATATTTTGGTACTACATGTACTGTTTCAATTAGCTTTGACATCTTTCTATTTTGTTTGCAGTCAGTGAAGACACGTGTCATAAAAAACAATTTAAACCCGGTTTGGAATGAGCAATTAATGCTGTCAATTCCAGAGAACATCCCCCCTCTAAAAGTGGTGAGTTTTTTTTTTTTTTTTTTGGAAAAATTGAAAATAATAATCCCAACTATTGCCGGTCCGCTAACAATAATCCCAACTATTGATTATTTTTGTATAATCCCAACTATATGGACCGTCCGCCAATAATGGTCCATGACCAGATATTACCTCCTATAACAAGTGATTTTTAAATAGAAATTAAGCATAAAAATTAAAAGTTGGAATTACTTATAGTGATTACTTGCTATATCTCTTCTCATCCACTTTAGAAACTACAAGAATTTATTTATAGGGACCATTATTGGCGAAAGGTCCCTAAAGTTGGGATTATTCTGAAATAATCAATAGTTGGGATTATTATGAGCGGACCGCCGATAATTGGGATTATTACTATCAATTTTTCCTTTTTTTTAACTCCAATACCTGGCTGACTCGTTGAATTTCTTATGTTTAAAGATACAGATGATTTTTTATTTGCGGTGGCATCTGAGTTTAAGTTCACCAACAATGGTTTTGCTTTGCAGCATGTGTTTGACAAGGATACATTTACAACGGATGATTTTATGGGGGAAGCAGAAATTGACATTCAACCTCTTGTTTCAGCCGCCAGAGCTTGCGAAAGTTCCTCCAAGAATGAGACGATGCAGCTGGGGACGTGGAAAGCAGGTCAAGAGAACACACTGGTTGCAGATGGTGTTATAAGCCTTGTGGAAGGGACTGTGAAGCAGGAAATAGCCTTAAAGCTGCAGAATGTCGAGAGGGGAGTTTTAGAAGTTGAGCTTGAATGTGTTTCTCTCTCGCAGTAGCTTCTTTTTTCATTTTCTGGTTGTTGTTTACTACTATACTAGGTGGTTTTCTCTCCCATGTTTACAACCTTTTCCATTTGTGTCTGCTTTATTTTCTGTAGGGGAAATGAGGGTGCGAATCGAGGCAAGACGCCTTTCATAGTTTCATGTAGAAACAGTATAGACTATAGAGTAAAGAGTGTCTCTTTGATGACGAGGACATTCATTTTCACTTTTGTTGAACGTTACTACGCAAACATTAATTAATGTATATAAAATTTATTCCTACACTAAAAAATATTCCTACATATATTTGATGACTATGATTTCCTCATTAATGTATTTAATGAATACTTATTATTGTGCTACTACTATGTAGCACCGATACGGGTACGCGGAAACGAGTTCGGGAATATGACAAAACCAAAAAAACAAGGATACGGATACAGGGCCATATTTATAAATATTAAAAGTTATGGAGTGTATTTAGAAATATTAAAAGTTATAGGGGTGTATTTATAAATATTAAAAATACAATTTTTTTTTTTGAAAAACACACATATATATTATCATGTGACATCTACCTATTCATGACATTGAAGCATTTTACATTTTCAAGATGCTCGGAAGTAAATTCATATTTTATCTCATATACACATATTAGTGCATCTCGAAATATAAATATAGTCAATAAGTCATTAATTCAAAATAAGAAATAAGTCAAAAAACCTATAGTTTTGAAATTAAAAGTGCAAGTACTCAAAGTTCTAGAATAATGAAAATAGAAAACAATATTCTAAAAGTTCTAATACATATTTCCGTTGGAGCTATTAATTTCTAGGGATAATTAGAATTAGGGATAGAAGGATGTGTGAATTAAGAATATGCCCATTAGTTGTGTACCACATAAAAGCAAGGTATATATTGTTTTAACTTTTCATTTTTTATGAATTTTATTATGTAAATTTTGAGTGTTTTTTTTAAGATTGTTTTTTAAAAAAGTTGATACGTGTATCCGTCCGGATACGAGTATCCGAAATTGTAAAATAATTACCCAAAAAATGGAAACTTTTAAAAATTGTCAAAATTAACGATAAATATTAAGGTTATTTTAGTAAGTATGCTTTCTTAAAAAGATTACCTTTCGCCTAAACCTCTCTCCCTTTACCTTACGCCCTAACTCTCTCTTTCTTAGTATTGAACTTTTTTCTTCATCAAATATTCATACTAATGGTTAGATGCTACACTTGTGTGTAGATTGAAACGGGGTTCACAAAATATGTGTCTTGACATAGCAAGCTTTTATTCTTTTAGACAAGGTAAGGTAGGGATTTGCCTTTTTTTGCTGAGATTCTCTTATCCTTTTCCCTTGTGGATTTGATGAATGGGATCAGAATACTTGGTTTGCTTTACATAACGGCTTGTGTGTATTGTACTGTTGAATTTTGGTAGTAATCGATGGCAGGTCAAAAAAAAGAAAGTATTGGAAGCATATTCATAAAGCATATGAAAAAAAATTAATAAACTATGAGCCATATTTTTAACGCTAAAGTTGGTTGAATCACTGAATGTACTAAAGTAGATAGAATTTTGAATGAAGCAGTTTTGTGGCTTAATTCCGATGAATTACGAAAAACTTATATTTAAAATATATTTTATAAAAAAAATATTATATGAAAAATAACTAAATACTCCGTAGTTTTCTCTAGCAAAGACAACTAATTCATTCATCAAATTCTAATTTTACTTATTTTGAAAACATTTATTTTATTAATTGTTTGGAAAAGATTTATTTATGTCCTAATTGTGTTGAGTATCTACTTAACTAATTGAACTACCCAATTTCTAATAAACACTCGTCCTATATATACACACGAAACCCCATATATAACACCTAAAATCAAAGTTAAATTCAATTTTGAAATAAATTATATCCTATTGGCCCAAAGTTGCACAATGAACCTAAAAAATAGCTATTATACATCATTTTTGTTTACATTTTTTAAATTTAAAAAAATAACTTATCGCTCCTTAATCTTCCATTCTTGTTAATTTGGGGGTTTCAATTTTTTCAAATGTACTGTCATTCTATATATGCCTCCTATAGGTCATGTTTGATAAATGGATGATCAGCCATTTTTGAGTTTTTTTATCACTTTTAATTGGATTGACCAAGAGAATTGTTAAAATTTATATGTTGGTCCAAAATAGGACGCTCGTAGACTTTTAGAAAAGCTACGTTAGACAATCAAGCATGAAATCAAGAAAGTAATTAAGAACGAAAATGGAAAGTGTTAAGGGAATTTAGTTGCCAGAAAGTAGCGTATGAAATCCCCCCCTTAGTTTGAATTACAACGTGCCTTGTTGGTCCCTATTTCTACTCTATAATGTATAAGATCTGATTAATAGGAGTAGAAGAAGCTTTCCATTGATAGCCAGAAAGTTTACATAAAGATGAAGAACATGTAGCGTAAAACTTCCGTAGGCTTCTAGTCTATGCGCAGGGAATTTTTCTGAGTGAGGAAAGCTTAACCTAGCCATTCCTAAGGGGTCTATTTATAGCCTCCTTAGAATGGTAGGTTTTACAATGATATGGGCTCTCCTTTTTAGGAGGCCCATTCCTAATTTAGCTTAGTAGCCTTTTCCATTTAAGGCCTATTAAATACACAATAAATACTACCAAGAGGCTAGATAAAATACATTGATCACAACACTAAAAATATCTCTAACATTCTCCCCCTTTGTGATCAGATGTCCGTTGTTGGCTCTTGTGGGTTCTTCTGCCTCTTGTAGTAGTTGCTTTGCAGTGCTAGAGCATGTTCATATTGGCGCATCATTCTCCTCTTTTCGAGTCGAGTGTTGATTGCATCTAGCACCGCCTTTAGTCGATCAAATTCTTTCAGTTCAGCTTCTTTTGTCTTCTTGGAAATGCTTCATGAAGAAATCCTTACAATCTCCCCTTTGGTGTTATTCATTCAATTCGTTCTTTGATGTCGGGGTTGATGGATTCTTCAAAATCTTGCTTTTAATCCTTGCCTTTCAGAAGTTTCTGTTGATCAGCTTGAATGAATCCGATGGCGCCTTTAGAATGATTGTTCTGAAGAAATCTAGGCGCATAAGGGATTCGTCTTCAGTATTTGATCACCCGACCTCTGTATCCTCCAGAATGTAGCCTTTTCTGACTATTCAGTTGTGAATACTTTTGAGGAGCATTTGTCGGTGGCACAGCGAAAAATGATGGTTGGCTTGTGAGCAGGGCTGACCTTTAGATTTGAAGCTGATTTGGCAGTTGATGAATCTGAAGGAGTAGAGAGCCATCGTTTTTGGGCTGGAGGAGAGAAGTGTCCGAGAATGATTTTTGAGTGTAGGCAGCATGTGAACCACTCTCCCTCTCATGACGATCCCATGAATCGAGATGTCATGCCTTTATTCTTTTATTCTGGAAAAAGAAATTGGAAGAAAAATTAAAAGATAAGAATCGGAGACATTGGGGTGTTCCGTTAACACAACATCAAAGTAAACATTGATGTGTGGCCTGTATATAATGATAGAAACATTGTAGCTCTAACAGGACTTCCAACCAATCATTGTGAAACATCTGAAGTAGATGTCACTCTGGTTGTTATGGCATGATCACTAGGATCAGCATGGATAATTGTAGCCCCCGGGGTCGTGTTGACACCCGTTATCATCACTATAGAGACGAACTCTAAATGATGGCCTGAAATTGTTGGTGATTTCTATGTTGCAACATCAGGACTTCCATCCAATCATCGGTCTGCATCTATAGAAGATGAGCCTATGGAAGTTCTCGCATGGTCACTTGGACCTGCAACTGACTCTAAAAATGTGTCTGTGTCCTAGAAAATTCAAAACATTTAGGAGTGAGATAACTAGACACAACGTGATCAATGAAAGTTCAGTGGCGTGGGGCTGAGGGCCACTGTAGTCAGTATCAGTCGCCTCAGAAGGAGACGGTGATAAGAGATGAGGTTCCCCGTGAACAGTGATTAAACACATGTCTGTTGGGAGACAAGTGAGTGGTCTAGGGTAGGGTTGTGCACGCGCTGTTTGGACAAAATGCAGCGACTTCTACCCTGGATCTGAATAAATTCAGTCCTGAACCCGTGGGGATTGTCCGGAGTATTTGAGTGACTGGGATTGATTCCTTGATTGATAGCTCATTTGAGGTAGCAGTTTTGTCATTGATTATTGTCTTCTTGCTCATCGGAGCCTTCTGCTTCCTCACTCATAATATTCACTCATTTACTCACTCTCGGCTTTGTCCCTTGGGTAGGCTTAGTTGGGTTTACTAAGCCATTGGGACTTATCTCTCATTGATCTTGTTTATTTTCTCTCTGCGTACTCCCCCTCAACTGGAGCACTGAGTAGGATGCCTTTGACGATGTTTGGCGCTTGGGAGGAGAACTTTGAAAACTCCCCCTTAAAATTTGCATCCTTGAGAGAATTCTTGCATTTAATCTAGGTTGTTTGAGGGTTCAAGTTGGGGTTGTTGGCTAGATGAAGCACCATGCTCGAGTATCCGTTGCCTCTTATTCTCCCCCTCATGAGGAGCCGAATCATTGGAGTCCTCATGCAAATGTTTGTGACCACGGAGACTGTCATGGCATGTGCTTTCGGTTTCAGGTGCTACAAAAAGAGCTCTTTGTTTGTCAGTGAGTGGAGCTTCTTCGTTTTCAAGAATTCTCGCTAGCATAATGGATGCTAGGTCATCGAATGGCATTGTAAATGGGATAGGATAAGGATTGGGGTGAGTTGCTGTTGGAGTGGGAGGATGAGGGTTGAGTTAGGGTTTGATGATGTCATTAAGAAGCGCCGGGGTGGTCCTGAATTCCCATGCCCGAGCGGTTATTGCTTCGTGCACCCATGGTTTAATGGTGGAATCCAAGCAACGCTGCTGAATGACTGCAAGGTCGGTAGGGTTAGGGTTGTCCGGTTACAGGGGTAGTAACCGTTGTCACAACATCAATAAAGTTTACTGGTGCGCGGCCTGCAGATAATAATTGAGTTATCTGTTCAGCGGCAGGACTTCCGATCATCATCGAAGTATCTCCGATCGTTGTTGACAGGGAAAGTGGACCTGTAGAGTGCGGTGGTGTGAAAAGTGTATGTGTCCTAGCAAATTTGCAAATGTAGGGAGTGTGACACCTAGACTCAATGTGATAGAAGAAAGGGTAGTGGCCCGGGGCGATAGACCACTATGTACATCCTTAACTGTTCCGTAAGGGGGCAGAGAGGTGGGTATAAGATCCCCTATTTGTGAAACTACTACCTGTTGGGAGGCAGCAGAGTGGCTAGGTGTGGCTTGTGCATGCGCAGTTGGACAAG